CTCTACCATGGGAGGACGCATAAACAGTAGACGTTGGCACACACAGGAAGCATCAAAGTTCTTACTGATTTCTGGATGTGAAGTGAAGGGAAGAAAATTAATCAAGTCATATGACATGCCGGAATGATACGCCCTTATAAATCTCAATAAACGCAATGTGCACGGGATTGTTATAGCAGGCTGGCTTAAAGCATGCTACATGACAGTAAATCATCGTATAACAAATAAGGTTTTGGCGACCATTTTAGAATTATATTTACTCTTCAGCTTAAACTAGCAATATCAATGCCTGTTGGCCTTCATTTGCATCTCACAAAAGGCTTCTATCTAGCTCTCGTGCATAGCCTATCACTTTGCTACAAGTGAAAACTAAGTATTTTGTTGGAGTTGTAAGTAGGCTTAGAATGTCTTACTCCGTAACATCTACGAGGGTTTAAGCGCGTAGCAGGCAGCAATCACCTTGAAATGGGTTGAACTAAGAGCAATCGAGATAAACGAGTTGCTTGAAAATATATTACTTCCCGAAATTTCATCTGCTGGTGCAGTCAGTAGGACAAATTCCTAATGGACCGTGGACTGTTATTAAGTGGAAAAGACGCGCTCTGCGTTAAACGATCAGTGCCTACAATACAAAGCAAAAGCAATAGAGAAACGTGCACTGAATTTGTCATTTCTCTAGGTAAGAAGACGATTCCCTCTGCATTTTCATGAATATTTTTTGTAAAATGTAAATTAAATCAGCAATCAAATGTGTTGCTAATCTGACAAGTAATCTATAAACGTTTGCTGTTATAACAAATGGAAAATGAGGTTTATATTAGAAATTAAAAAACTTCTATTCCGTATTCCTTTCAGCACACATGGCAAGATAAACTAAACTGTCCCTGTGGTGTCTGTCCTGGTAAGAAAATACAGCATCAATTGTAATGACTAGAAGTAAAATCACCCTACTAGTCACCCCTATCAGTGCGACACATTCTTTTCGAATGGCCCAAATAGCAGAAAGCAAAAATAACTAATTGAAAAAAAAACAGGACTAGACTTTGATGGGTGGGAGGAACATATTTTAAAATACCGGACATTTGCTTAATCTTTAAGTAAGTGATTGTGAGACCACAGGTGACCGAATTGGAACTTGGTGTATATCGGCTGATCAACTACATGATAATCACCTAATCGTAGTGAACAACTAATACATGAATATTTCTTATCGTACATAGGTTTTTTCCACAAAAAAACAACAAACAAATGACAAACAACAAGCGTAGTGCAATTTCTCATGCATAGCTCCAGAAAGCAGTAAGATTCAGACTGTTGTCCTCTCCATGCATTGGTGAGTTGGTCAAGTACGTAATTTTGGAGGAAACTAAGGTTGTCGGCGCTGGCTCCGAGTGGAGAATAAATGACGAGCATGCATTTATTTATATAAAATCATATCTGCTTCGATATCTCGGAACGTTGAGCCTTCGCTAATCTTTTTTTGGCTGAATTCACTTTTAACTACAATTTGAATGCACAGCTATTCACGTATAGGTTCAGGTGGTGAATATAATGGTCATTAACGTGAGGGGACAGACGTCACGTACCTTAAAAACCGGAACACAAAATACGGATAAGAAAATTATTATTGCCATGCTTTATATGAATGCGCTAGCCATCGAAAAGGATATTTAAGGCCTAAATGCCAGTTTTTCTCATGTGTACGGATACAGTTGGGTGATAGATAAAGAATGAAACATGCTCGAGTTACAAAAAATCCGCCTGGTCTGAGCTAAATATTTTGCAGAATACAAGCGTTCAATTTCGACAATTTATACGTGTATTTGCTGCCAGCCACAAGAAGCTGATGCACACTAAGTCACGCCTTTGGCCATCTGCGCTTGCATGCTCCAGTCTATGGTCAAGGGAAAGATGTTTGCCTTTTGGTCCTTTAATTTCCTGGCTATAATTTCTCTTTAACGCTTAACAGGGTTCCTCTTTTGTATTTGTTTCTTGGTGACCTTATTTGTTCAAGTATTAAATTTTAGGCCTGAATAACATTTAGATTGCCAATGAAGATACTTTAAAGAACTTCGGACCGATTGTTTTTAAAAGAAAATGAAACAATAGCAGCATCTAAGGTGGCTTATATAACAAGTCCATGTACAATTAAATAAACTTTTCCTTCTCCTTACTGTTGGCTTCCCAAATTACCTTTCGTTTACCTTGAATTACAAAAACATGCATTGGTGCAAGTGACTACATCTATTCATCACTCCTTCCATTTTTACAGTAAATAACACCTAGTTTCAAGCAGTGGCATATAGATAGGACACCTACTTGTTTTCCTACATTTATTAGCAGTGGTTTGTGCTTCTGTTGGCAATAAGGAACGCCCAATATGCAAATTCATTACTTCCTCTACACATTTTTGCTATACATTACTTCAGCGTCTATTCATCTATGGTCTGTTCGTTATTGTCCAATGTGTTTAGGAGCTATCCATCCATCTGAGAGGGCTTGCTTTGACTCCTCTTTCCTTTTCTCCCGTCCTTCTATCATTCGGTCCATTCACCCGTCTGGCTATTGGCCCACCCAAATATTCCAGTCTTAGACTAATCCACCCTTGTAAATGCATGACAAGCATTATCTCTTGCAAGAGAATGGTTAGATTGAGCATGTAAATTGTGTAATATCATATGTTACCAGTTGTGCGAAAACAAATGGTTGCTCTATGTTGATCATTTCCTTGTTGCAGCCTCCCAGTCCTCTCGTCCGTTGCCAAAATTATACCCTGATAGAGGGAGATTTCCCCTTCATCTCTGGCAGAGTTAATGGACTATTGAAGCATGGACCTGCGACCATACCACCGGGTGGGAGTCCATCCCGCCTAGTTAATTTTGTGGTTTGACAAGATATTTGCACTACGGAAACACTACTGCGGCATAATTGCAGCAGACTACTTATGAGCAAACTACTGACGCAGTTATCGGCAGCTTAATATACGACCTACAGCAGTCTGTAGTAGTGTACGCAGCCAGAAAGACATGCAATTAAAATAGTCATTATACTTTTACTGGATGATAGATATTCGCTTTGGTTGCTGGAACAATGATGATTGTGAATGCAGGGAATGAAATGCTCTCAGATAAGTATACGATGTTAGAGATTGATGTTCGTGAAAGGAGTCTTTCCCTTACCCCCCTTGCCAGGCGATTTAATACCTTCGTTCTGGCTTCACTGAAATGCTACCATTCAAATAACGCGTAGGATAGGCAACGCCGATGCGGCTGATGTGTAAGGGAATGAAGAGAGTTTTGTTTCTGGCAGAATAGAGGGATTGGGAAAGTTTAAGCAATGACCGAATGTAGCAAATGCTTTGTGTAGTGTGCGTGAGATAGTTCAAGTCAAGTCGGAATTCTCACACTTCCAATAGCTTTCAACCCGCGGTGGTGCGTGATCAGTAGTACGTGTCACAAATGATTAAACATGGTGGAAGGCAACACTGACATCAAGCAACACTGGAAGTCATTTGTTACAACTTCTGATGCAAAACACAGGCGTGAAATTCAGGCCTACATTAGAGTTGGAATTTTATTTAACATTTTCAGATTTTCCAAATCAATTTTATTAAACCACTAATTTTGGGAAGCAAAACATGGCCCTAGCCAACTTATTTTAAAATTCTAACTGCATAAAACCGCACCAGAATATGACTCCTACTTTATGCCTTCATTATACGGTACTATGACAATCACGCAATCAGCCACCATTCATCAATTCAAGTTACTGTGCAGATTTGGCATGTCTTTGGATTACGTACACTTCTTAGAAACTGGCAACTGAACAATGACCTATTCTGTTCAGAGCATAAAGAATGGCAGACCAAATACGTTGCCGCAATCGTAAGCCCAACTAGCATTAAATGAACAATTTAAGGGCCATGGTGGTCAGCATCACGCCTCAGAAACAGACATTCTATCACATTTATGTGACTCCACGAATGCGTCACATATATGTGACCTCTGGTAGCGAATACACCAGATCTTTTGTTTATGCGGCAAACAAAACAACCCTCATAGGCCTAAATCCTCCGTTTAAACATGCATTCCCTTAGATTGTCCACGAAAATAGAAATGGAAGCAAGGTTTACCAGTGGTGCAGGAAAAAAGGTTCTCAGCAATAATTTGGCGAGGAAGTTGGCAGAGGCTGGCAACACCATCAGGGGTGTAGACATAGGCGGCCCCAGCCTTAGCGTCTAAAATTGAGAGGATGCCCTTGCTGCAGCCGAAGTCCAAAAGCACCCTTCTATCCAGACTTCGTCTGGCTCGTATCATTGCAAGTATGAAAGCAGTAGAGTGGTCTGGTTACGAAAAGATACAAGAGCAACCATTGCAAGAATCCGTAACACATCTTTATACCTCCGAATAAAAACCTCTGTGTATTGTCCATTTCTTTTTTGCAAAGAGTTTTAGAGCTCACTATCACTAATACTACATTTAAACCGCGTTTTTTTTTGAGTAGATGGCTCTAGATTGTAGCCATTTGTAGAGAGTTATTATGAGTGGGAAAAAAATATATCCGAGCGTCTTTATACAACTACATGTTACAAGGTAGTGCCCGGCCGTCAAGGCCACCAACGCAAAACACAAATTAGATCTGCAATTCTTGAATATAGCGTAAATGCGATTTGAAAGAGGCTACAGTAGAAGTGAATACATTTACCAAAAAATTAACGAAGAAATCATCACTGGCGTTATTTGGCCCCTCAGACAAATTGAATAGGTAAGGTAAATGGTTAGTGGGAAGGGCTTTTGTAGACGAATTAGCCGGACGAGGGATGAAGCTGCAAACTCCACACCCACCTTGCTTAAGACAGTATGGTTAACTTTTACCGTAAAGAGTGATTAATTGAGATGACTTCTTTTTAGCAAAAGCGCACGAGCATCAAATTTACCAGATGAAGTACTGTACCTAAAAAGCTAACAGTATTTATTTGCAAACTTAGCGATAAACTGACTTCACCCTATGCCATTCCATCAACTCTGGTCTATTGAGCTCTGGAAGCAGGTATCTACTAAACCGAATCCGTCGAGTATACGGAGCAGAAAGGCCAAAAGAGTTGGTCGCATAGAATGATAATCTAATCTCCTTAGAGAAAGCACTCAAATGTGCGTTATTTTTCCCAACCAACGCTGATGCTGAAGCTGTGAGCAGTAGGTGGAACAAAAGACCTTCCTTCATCCTCACTCTCCGCATTCACTAAGTTTTCTTTCATCAACAGACTGCGAAATTTTTTTGCCATGTTAAACACCCTTTGCTACAAGTTTATGCCTCCTCTCGATTATTCACAGACTGCTGATGTAAAGAATTTTCTATCACAAGGCTAGTAAAACTGCCCTCGATGGTTCGGCCGAACAGCATTCTCCCTAAATGATTATCATACTGCAAAATACTAGTAAACGTGCAGGCTCTTTATACCGTTAATACATGTGTCTCACCAGGATGGACTTTAAGTCGTGTCTACAGACCTTCAGGCTTGCTGCACGTAAATAATGGCTTGTGTGCATAGAAGATAGATCTGCAACACACATTTTTATTCAAAAATTAATGTTACACTTCCGAGGAATCTAGTTTACAGAAAACTGAGCAGTTACAAGTTACTAACCGGATACAATCCAGGCAGATGTGGCTGGGTGGCGGTGAAGAAAGAACAATGTGGCAAAGAGAAATGAACGCCAGGTATTGTCCCTGCGAAACTATTTTAAACCTTATTTCTACTACTGGTGATTGACATACGTAATAGCTTGCACATTTCCTCTTTCTTCAGTGCAGTTACCGAACAGGAAGAAACTCCAGATCCAGTGGAACTGCCAAGAGGAATCAGTGACGATGTGTTCAAATTTCTTTCAGTTGCATGCGAATTCGGTTACTGATGTGAATGGTTCGTATTTTTATCCGTAAAGCACTGACCACGGTGTGATGGCCGACACAGGCGAATGAAGAAGAGGAGCGCTGAGAACGACGCTCAAAAGGGGAGGGGCTGCATAATTCTTTGATTGTTTTTATAGCTCTGTTTTGGTTTCGCTGGTACTTAAGGCTCCGCGATTGCACTTCTGATAGGCCAATGGCCTCCAGGACTTGCTGTTTGCCTCTAAGCCCTAGTGTTATGTCTTTCTACGTCTTCACGGAAGTCTTGAGGTGCAACATAAGTTTTAAGACCCAATGACAATATATAGTTAGTACATGAGATTCCGTACGCAAAAACATGGTAATTATTGTTTTTCAGGCGGGCTGAATTCATTCGCCACTGGGAAATTGTGGACACAAAGCTCATTAAAAAGAGTAGATGACGATGCCCTTTTAAACTGAAAGTTATGCCCATAGAGAAGGCATTCTTGGCTTAGCATCCTAATCCTCACAGCAGAATGGAAAGCGAAAAATTCAGTCTTTTGGGTGAAAGGAAAAACTTTACATTCCACGTTTTGGGGAGGCGATTTTGTAAAGAAATGAATGAAGCCAAATCGTTCATTAAGTAAGGGATGAGAACATTTGAACAGTACTCGAAGGGCTCTTCATTTTCATTACTAGGGAGAGGGTGCATTGAAGGCATGACAATGGAGTGACACGACAAAATCACGCCAGCCATTACTGCACAAACTTCGCTTTCTAGGATTTTAAAAGCCTCAAGTGCATCTTTACATGTCGAAAAGTAGTTGCTTCCATCTTAGATGGAGGAAAAATCCTTCTAAAGATAGCAGAAGCAATATTGCAGTGGGTAAAGCCACTATGAAGCTGCGATATGCTAAAATTGAACAGAAGACCACTCGATGGCCAAGGTCACTCAGCACTATCAGCAATCAAAAATGCAAGATCATTGCAACCGGCGTAGCCTCTGCCATTTGGTGAAGCAGTCGGTCATTTGGCCGATCACAGGCTACCGGTACTGTACACGTGCGGCATGTCCAGGCTTGCTCATTTGTACACGTCGGCAATTAGGCCACCTACATATACGAAAAGGTGCAGAGCTGAGAGAAAACAATGGACAATGCGAAGGGGCGTATAGTTATTGAAGGGTTACGTGCATGTAGGAAAAAGCAGAAAAAATGTGCAAGATGTGTAAAAACATGTCAAGTTAAAAGGAGGGAAGGGCTTGAGCAGGAAAATTAGACAGGGTAGAATAAAATCGCTAACAACAGCAAGGATCAAGTGAATACAATGGGGAAGCACTCTTTGGTGACAGCGTACAGCAGCACAGTAGACATGGTGGTAACTATGCGGTCATGGAGACGTGTAGGAGGAGCAAAATCAGCGGCGATTGAGGCGTCTGTGGAGCTGTAGTCGCCCTCAGTGCACGCTGTTGCACCCGTTGCCAGGTTTTTAACTCTTTTCACAGGCAGTGTTTTAATTACTACGTATCGCCTACACATTTAGGTAATACTCACCGACTTCACATTCCTCTTTCACTGAATATTGTCACCCCTTTTTACTTCAGTTTGCTTGCACCTTAATGTAGACACTTGCTGACTTACGCATGGTATCTGTAG